GTAAATTGCTTTTCATGAAAGTTCTCTTCTTTTAGTGAAACAGTCGCTGATAAACTTGGCAATTGCTTGGACAGTTTCAGAATTTTTGTTATTGAGAAGTGCTTTCAGATTACCGGATAAGTTTAAGTTTTCAAACAAAGCATCTCTTTCAAATTTGTACAGGATACAATTGAAGAGGAAGTGTTCTTCGTCTTCAATTTCATTGGAGTCACAGACAGGGCATGTTCTATTTAAGATATCTATGTTGTGATATCGCTCAACTTCAATCTGAATTATGTGGGCACTTATCCTCAGTTTAGTCATAGATGATCTGTGGATGGTTTTTTTAATAATTTCAGGGTATTTTTCAAGTGCAAAATCAGTTTTCAGCTGTCTGTAGGTACGAAGTTTATTTTTGTGATTAGTGCCTTTATTGTCATTATGCATTGTTTCTGTGCAGTGTTTTTCAAACATATTTTTTAGTTTTTTTTGTAGCTATTGCAAGTATTGCAGAACTTGTCACCAACATTCTCTTTATCCGATCATCACAGGTATTTGTCATTGTAATACCAGAAATGTGTATATTTTTGTGAATAAACTTGGTATGATGCAACTGGTCATTTTGTGGTTACATTTATTCAAAAGTAATATGCCTGATAGTTTAACAGAAATAAAGTTTTCAGACTTAAAAAATATCGCGCGAGTTACGCCCTCTACGATGATCAGCTTAACGTTTGTTGCAGTCCGAAGGAGGCGCCATTCACACCTCAGTACATGTCAGGCTAATCCAAAATAATCAAAAAAAAGGTGAAACAGACCTGTAAAACGTGGGGGGGGGGGACATTTCGACCTACAATTCACTCAATAGTATAGAGATTATTGGACTGAAATGCCCTTTCTACGACTTTCTTATTTTTCTAGTTTGATCAGTAATTTCCAGACTTCACCGATATAAATAATTATATGTTTAATGGCAGCATAAAATGGCCAGAAATTATATTTATCTATATTTAACCAGGATAGTCCATTCATTTTCTTCCCGAAGGAGTTCTATGGTTTCCAATGGAAATCAAGAATGGAATGGAATAGATAAATAACTACTAGCAAACCCCCAGAGTAGTAAAGACTAAACCAATATAATAAGAAGCGTAACACAATCTGGCTTCATCACAAATATGTTATAAACAGGAATGTTGTCAAACATCATTTGTGAAACAGAAATGTCAAATTTATAGTTAATGGTCAGTCTTTTAAAAACCATTCTGAATGTTACAGGTTTATACATACAAAATGTGCATATATAAATCAAATTTGTTTTTTTATGGTATGACCGTATTTCATATTTATGAATCATGTTAGTGAAAGCAGACCATTTACTTCCAGAGTCACTTTATTTAAATAACGCAAAATAACAAGTTATTAAATTGAAAGTAGGAACAGAATTAAGTAGTCGGTAATGTTGAAAACTCCCCATGCATATAGTGTACTTCTATCACTGCCACACATGCTTTTTTATATGATACCTTTGGCGCAAACACAAAGTTACATTGCTATTGAGGAAAATGTAGAAATATTGATCAGTCAGGATGGCAATAGATCAGTCTACCCCCTTCAGAGCTAAAAAACACAAAAAGTCAAAATCACAACAATTTGTTAACTATGGAAATGCCATAAACGAAGGGCAAATCAAAAACTACATACTGTAGAATACTTTATTTGCGCTTGGAATTTATTTCCGCCATTTTAGTCGAAGGGATCATTTTGTGAAAATAAAATCCAGCGAATATACTTTTTTCTTATATTTCACATTCAGCTCATCAAAATTCCGTGAAAATAAATTCAATACAAAACGCCCAAAAAGCTTTTTCAGCGAAAATCAATTCCAGCTAAAATAAAGTATTTACGGTGTTACTCTATTATCTAAATAGATGGTACTTTTAACTAATCTTCAGCCAAGTGAGGAAATCCTGCCTTTTTCAGGACTTGCTTGTGTTTATTTGTTAAAGCAAACTGAACTGTGATTGGCATTACAACAAGTAAAGGTTCAAAGTTGGGTTGAATTGTTCGCACACAATGTAAACTCAGATGATAGTAAGCATTTTGCTTTTTTTCCCCATTAGATATGTACCACTTGTTTGAAGCTCTGTTATAGCAAGGCCTGACTTCTGGGTGCTTAATTATCAAGTCGTATGGCTCCGTTTTCTCTTTATTACTGTACGAGTCATTGCATCCATAACACTTTGAAATTAATCCATGTAAAAATACAATTTCATAAGTATCTCTATCTGTGTCAATTGCTGTATATAGTTTCAGCTGTTCGGGGCTGGAAGTTTCTAACATTACATGTGCAGGTGTCTGCGTGATCTTATAATTTTCTAATTTTGTTACAATTTCTCTTATTTCTTTTTGGTTATAACTAAACTGTAACATAATCTTGTCCTTTTCTCTATACCCAAGAAGTAACAGAACAAAGAGCCGATGCTTGCAGGCCACAACCCCTTGTCGAATAGAATTTTGACTATCAGCAAATGGACAATTGCATCTCGGCATTTCAGCAAGTGTAATAAAATATATGTTCTCATCACTGCCTTCAATGCACAGAGATGCCTGTGTTGGAGAATTTACCTCAATCTCAGTCATTTTATAGTTGAACATTAGTTTGGCTTTTTGAAGAGAGGCATTTAAACTATTACTTATGTTCACTCTGGTTCTTCCTTTTGGCCTTATATCAATATCTCTACCCTTATCTGCTCGATGAGATGCTTCTGGATTCGACTGAAAAGTTGATGTAGATGGCATAAGTGGACCACCATTTCCATCATACTGAGTATCTAGTTCCTTCATTAGCACATTCACCGTTTTATCTTCCTTTTTTCTTTTCTTTTTTGTTTTACCGCATAGGATGGGCCTTTACCACTTTTGGGCCGTGCCTTCACAATAGCTTCTAATTTGTTGCCCATATTTAAATGAATCAGCAACATCATATACAGCTGCCTCGGGTAATGTGATATCTGAACCACTACTGAGTGTCATGGATGCATGACTTGCCTCTGCTAGATTTGTATTGGGGCATGACAATGGTTTATGTCGGTACGCTTCCATGACATGATGACGTCTTTTGTCCCACCAATGTAACCATGGAAGTAATCCGGAATTTCCACTCTCTCTGATGAAAGTTTCTATTTCCCTGTAGTATGTCATATACTCATTCACTGTGACAGAATACACAAGTTCATTTACAAGAAATTTGAATTTTGTTACTGTATAGTTTTTGTTTAACTGTCCCATAAAAGCACTGTTGGCATGTCGGAGAGCACACTGCATAAGATGTAGACGACAACTTACACTATTTTCATCACAGTATTGTCTTCCAAATCTTTTTTCAAGACTACAATGAAGAGCACCACCTTCATCAAGCATCCAGCCTGCAACAGGTTTGAACTGTTTAATAGCAGAGTTTGTAAAGCTGGACATCATTTCATCAAACATTTCTAGGAACAACTCTACTGTTTCACTATTTTCTTGTTCACAGTCCATTCGGGCTAACCAAACGACCCTTTTCAACAAAGGATGGTAAGTACTCACACTAACACTTTTGAGTTTATGTCTCTTTGACTTTACTCTGTTGTGCTTAAAATCCATGAAACACCATTCATCACACATCATGTGTTCTGTATCCATAATATGTGTGGCTGTTTTCAGTCGCTCCACAGATGACTTGATGATGTAAGTTTGATACTGTTCTGGACAGTGGGTTTGAAACTCGTGTTTAGAAATTTTACCATCTTTGCAGGTTGACTGAATTACAAACCACATACCATTTCGTTGTTCTTTTATTTGATATCTGTATAATAAATAGTTATCGTTGTATGTATTAACACATTCATTTTGGAGTTCATCTAATTTTTTTGATGCTACTTGGCTTCCAGGTGTCCTGTATTTCATATTTATTGCTTGCATTTTGTCAGACAAATTGAATGCAGTTTTTTCTATATCTTCACGACACTTTGCATTTTGTACAGCATTCATTAAAATCTGTGAAGATAGCTCACATGGCTTTTTATTGGGATTGTTTTTCACTGCTTCCTGCATTTCAGAAGGGAGTGTAGATCGCTTTACAGGGTTACAAGTATGTGCGCCATAATGGTAAATAGTTACTGTATTGCTATTTTGGGGGAATTCCCATATTTTTACAGTGTTGCATGCAAAATATTTCATTTTGTGCTCACATTCTTCGCTATCTTTGTCCTGTTTCAGATAATGCCTTGAATTGCAAGTTTCATAATATGTACGAAATGGGCACTGATAATTTACACATTTGTAACTTCCTTTACACACAGATCGTAAACGTCTCCCATGTTTTTTTGTGAAAGCTTTGGTAAATGACCTATTATAGCGTCTCCAGTTTCTCGCATCTAAAGTACTTTTCATGGTATTGCCTGGGGTTGGGTCATACTTTAGACGATAAGCACATGTCCCATCAATATCATATGGCAATTTGTTAACCGCTTTTGGTGTCAGGAATGAAAATTCATTTGCTGGTATTACCCTTCCTTTTACTGGAACATTTCCCTCGTCAGACCATTCAGAAGCAGCACTGTCACTGCTAAGAGGTTTATACATGTCATTTTTATTACCCTTTCCCTGATTTTTGGAAGATAATTCATGAAAAGCTGCAGGGGAGGATGTGAGATCAATGACAATATTCCCAGCAACAGGAGATTCAGTGAGATCAATCACTTGGTTGCGAATGTTCGAATTATTATCTGATATTACACTCATACAATTTGTCTTTTTTTCTCCATTTCACAGTTTCATCATCAGAACTTGACATGTTCTTTTGCCTGTCACTGATGCAACTATCATTCATGTCTCCTGAATCAGTATCTGACGTTAGTACCATCGTACATTTTCTTGCCTTTCTTTTCAATTTCACACTTTCATTATCAGAACTTGAAATGTTCTTTTGCCTGTCACTGATGTAACTATCATTCATGTCTCCTGAATCAGTATCTGACGTTAGTACCATCGTACGTTTTCTTGCCTTTCTTCTCTGTTTCACACTTTCATTATCAGAACTTGAAATGTTCTTTTGCCTGTCACTGATGTAACTATCATTCATGTCTCCTGAATCAGTATCTGACGTTAGTACTATTCTACGTCTTGCCTTTCTTCTCTGTTTCACACTTTCATTATCAGAACTTGCCATGTACTGTTGCCTATCAATGATGCCACCTTTCTTCACATCTACTGAATCAGTATCAGACAATTTTCCCTTACTTTCATGTTGATCACTGTTACTTAAAATATTTCTATTATCTTGCAGCTCTCTCAATGCATTACCACATTCTAAAGAAAAAAAGTATACAAAAAAGTCTAAGAAGATATATCAAAACACACACAATTTGGATGCCATATTTATAGGACTAGGATCCATACAGTTAACAATAATGTTGTCGGCTGTGGATGTCATGTACAGAGTGAA